TCCATATATTCTCTCTAATAGTAGTTGCGCGTTGCCTAAATTCCTCGAAATCTCGAAAAGCAGTTATCATAACCTATCGATGTGGGGTCGGAAAATGTCGTTGACGATAAGATCTTGTGGGAGATTAGAGTGTTGAGCTTCTGTGAAAGCTTGGAAAGCTTATAGCCTGGATCCCGGCCAACAATCCAGATTTGATTTATGGTAACTCAAGCTGTTATCGCATTTTCCCAATAGTGCACCCTGAGCGTTGCCTAAATTGGTCGAAATCTCGAAAAGCGCTTATCGGAACCGATCGATGTGGGGTCGGAAAATGTAGCTGACGATAAGATCTCGTGGGAGATTAGAGTGTTGAGCTTCTGCGACAACTTAGAAACCGTAAAATAGTCATCAACTCGGCTCGGCGGAGTCCACTACTATTAGAGAAAATACGGTAAATCCATTTTCACAAAATAACCTCAATAAATCAATACCTAGTTATCTATAATTGGTTAGATTCTTCAAAATGTCTCCAACTCTTATCGGTGACTTGCATAAAGCCTTTTTTACGATGGTTACTTTGACGAAAATTATTGATTACTTAATGATAAATACAGAAAATCAAAAAAAACATCCGATCACTCAATTTGAGGTAACGGCGAAACGACGAAACAGGTCGATTTCAAGGGAAAAGGGTAAAAATATAGACAGCTGTTGTAACAGAACGCCCACAAAGGCAAGAAAAATAAAGAATGAGAACAACTGATACGAGACTTGAAAGAGAATTTCTATGTGGAAGGAATAGGAATTCAGGCTTGAAACTAATAGATACTACAGCAAGTAAAGTCATCGAAACAGTCGTTATTGGAACCGTATTGGATCAAAATAGGATCCATATTGGAATCGTATTGGAACCGTATTAGATCAAAAAATATCAGACCGTATTGAAACCGTATTAGATCAAAAAAAGAACCGTATTGGAACCGTATTAGATCAAAATATGAACCGTATTGGAACCGTTCAAGCTAGGTGATGTCCAATCTGGTTGCAGTTATCCTATCCTTTTGAAGACTTAGAACAGGTTATACCAGAAGTTGGGACCAGTCTGGCTGCTTTTATATCCAGAATCATAGAATCTGAATCCAGATCCAGGACCAGATCTCAGGCAAAAGTCCAATCCAGGCCGAGATTCTGGTTTAGGTCTCGACAGTTTCAAGTCCAGATCCAGATCCAGATCAAGTTCCGGTTGTTGGTCCCCTATTGATCAAATGAGGTCAGGTTAGAAAACAGGATAGGTTTTGATCTGGCTAGCTGGTTAAGCAAAGTAATTCAAAATAAAGAAATTGTCAACTACTTTAAAGAAAAAGAAAAACCAAACAAACCCCAAGCAAAAAACTCTTCGTTTCTATTGACTACCATAGGAAGAGTGTTACTTTTTTGGGTGCAAAGCGATGAGGACAACTGAGTAAATTTGGCCAATAGGGAGTTTTGGGGGGAGATCGAAAAGAGAGGATCTTCTTCTTTTTTCTTCTTCTTCTCTTTACTGACAGATCCCAAACTAATTCAATCGTCTCGTTTGCCATCAAAGAACTGAACCCAACCAAGCAGAAAAATGGGGAAGCTTTCTCTTAAATAAATTCATGCATTGGTACAGTTGAAGGAGAATAGTTATGAAGCTCAAAGTTTAGCGATCAAAGATGGCTCAAAGTTTAGTTCAGAATCGAGATCTAATTGTAAAGTTGTAGAGTTCAATAAGGTTTATAGTGCATCGCCAGAGTTACCAATTCTAGTTTTAAAATCTGAGAAAGGCAATGTTATAGGCTTTCCAGTATATCTGACTCAATTATTAGGCTAAGAAGTTAAATGAAAAATGAAAAAACAAGAAAATGCTTCAAAAAGTGTCCCTTTTTTCTTCTCACTCTCATATCTCGGCCATCTTTGGGCCTTTTGAATGACTTTTTTTGTAAAATGTGTGCATTCAATTTTAGTTTTACTGTTTTCTAATTGGAAAATGGATTGCTCGGAGGAATCTCAGAATATTTTAACTGGAACCTACGGAGGCACTTTAGAGGGAGTACTCTCCGGAGTACTTTTTTTACTTTTTGAGGGAGGACATTTTAGAGGGAGTACTTTCTGTTTTTGAATTGTTTGAATTATTAGGCTAAGGATGTCTTAAATGAAAATTTTGATTATCTTTATCGGAATTCGGAACAAATGTAGTCAACATAGATTTGAAAGAATCGATTTGAATAAGTGTATCCCTTGTACGCGTTTTAAAACTCTGATATGACAGCGGGCAAAGAAAAATATTAGGTTGATGCAAAAGTCTTTTTCATTTTTTTCGTACTTCCGTTAAAAAGTAACAAATGCACCAATTGAACAACGGTTTATTGCATTCGAAAGGCCAATTATTTTTCTGCAAAATGACATTAAAACGAGTTTAAAATGTCTTATGTCTAGATTTTTTTGAGAGCCTGAAGTCGGGTAGTCAAAAAGGCGACGGCTCGATGATGTATTTTAGACGCTTTAGCTAAGGAAACCAATCTTGATGTTAATAAATAAAAGATAGAGCACAAAAAGTTAGATATTTTTTCAGATTTTCAGAGAAATTGATTCAGCCAATTTCTTTATAGAGGTTTTTATAGATTTTTATGAAAAACCCGTTTTCACTCTCGAATTTGCTTGAAAGTGAACCCAAATTGACTTAAAAAGATGGGAAATTGAACAATAAACACTTTTCATTTAGAGCAAACCATAGGTTAATTGATGACTTTGTTATTTTTCAAAAGAAGTACGAAAAAAAATGAAAAAGACTTTTGCATCAACCTAATAGCAATTTTGTTGTTATTTAATCAAAATATTAAAGCTATATATGAATGCTAAAAAGGCCAAAATGAAAATGACGTAAATGAAAGAAGAAAAAAAGAGGGTCGAAATTTAACAGGCCCTATTCGGGGAAGACCAAAGGGAAGAAGCGGATGGAATGGGTTTCAAATGGGATGTCTCTCGATGCGCCCTTTTATAAAGAAAAGAATCTTCCCTTTCTTTTCTTTTCCTTCAGATAAACCCTTCCCCCCTTCAAACGAAATTGCAATTTCGTCCACAATTCCCTTGAAACGATTCAAATCTTATTCGCAAGTACCTAGAAGGCTTTTAAACATGGAAAATAAAGCAGTGAAGTGACTATGGGACTTAAATGGGGAGTAAAATGAGTAAGATTTAGGACCTGTTTTCAATAAAATTCTTTTACAGCTGAAGACTTTCAAACAAAATAAAAACTAGTTCCCAGAATTCTTGCAAACCCAAGTCACGACTATAGTTGCTCCAAAAAACAAAACGACTTAACTTTAGTGAAATAGGAAATGTATAGTGATCGGTGATAGACCCAAACGGGGAAATCACATCAGAAGTGGCACTCAATCGAAAAAGAAATCGAAGAAGAAAAAAAAGAAAGACAAAGATTGGGGGTCTTCTCTGTTTTCTATCGCTAAATCGAACAAAAGAAGAAGCAATGACTGCGGCCAAATTTGTCTCTTTTCTCTTCAATTCCCCCAAAATTCTCTCTGATTCCCATCACCGAAGTATACGAAATGCGGTGCAAAGCCTAAGAGTTTTATTCGTCTATGGCTAATCGTAGCCTGTAAAAAGTGATCAAGCTTATAAATCTAATCCGAATTCTAGTTAAACTAGATGCTTACCAGTTACTAGATAGCTTTCTGTTAAATAAAATCTTTCTTGAATCTAGATTTCTATTCATTTCCCAATCAAATTCCTAAATAAAACGAATAGATAAAAACTAGCATTAAAGCCTCTTCCTCTCAACCATTCTAAAACTAAAACTAATCTTGTCTCTAGATTTTTCAATCTACAATAATCCGAGATGTTACAGTAACCAAAGTATACGATAGAAACTATCTGGGTTACTGTAAGTTGTCTCTTTTTCTATTTAATCTATCAAATTTCAGATTCTGTAATGGTTCATCGAAAATAAATACTAAAGAAAAGAGAAGATAATAATAAATACTAAAGAAAAGTTTCTTTGAAGAGTAATCAAAGAAAAGATACACACAAGCCAGATTGTAAAAGCCAAAAGTACGGTACTTTTCGAAAATTCACATGTTCTAGAAAGCTTCATTTAAAAAGAACAAACGTCATTAAAATTTTCACTGATAAATGCCGACAAAGCCAACTTCTTTTCATCAATATTTTAACAGCTATAAAGATTGAGCCGAAAATTTTCACACATAAATTCCTTCAATCAGAGAAGAAAGTTTTGAAAAGAAAAGCCATAAAGAAAACCGATTTCCCCTAAAAGTTTCGAAAAAGATATGAAGACGAATGAAGGAGAAAAGAAGGGAAAAGAAGGGAAAGGAAGGGAGAAGAAATGGAAGTGAAGTTGAAGAGAAGTTGAAGAGAAGGCGTTTCCCCGGGAGAGGTTTTCCCCTTGAATTCGATTACAAAACAGAGAAGAGTAATCAAAGAAATGAAAAGAAATGAGGAGAAATGAGGAGAGACTTTTGGGGGGAAAGTTTTATTCTCTTTGAATTGCCAGGTGAAGGGGTCCAATTTGATCGTGACGGGCAATCGAATTTTTACAGCACAAAACGAAAGTCGTATTTCATTTATAAGCCATGCAGATCATGCAATAATTGCTAGAAATTGTTGATCGAACTTATTGAAAGCTCAAGTAATCTTGTTTCTTTTTGTGTTAGTAAGTTGAGTCGTGCTGTTAGCTAGATTTCAGACTTGAGGATTCAATTTTCTGGTTGTGATTTGTTTGATAAGTGAGTGATTGATAAACTACAGTGTTTTTTTGATGTGTTGTTTAACTTTTTATGCATTTCTCTAGAGATAACGCTAGAGAAACAGTGAATTTTTCAATGTTGCTCTAAAAAAAGCCAGAATTAACTCAAAATGATTGAAATTTTTGGAAACCAAAACGCTACACTATTTTGGAGAAGCTGATTCTTTGATTGAAACCCCTTGATCACTAGGATTAGAATGATAAACATCTTTAAACTAACTTGGTTGATGTGCTGGTGCCATGCATTCAAGTCGAGCTCCTCCATCAGCTAACGGGAATGCATCGAATCTCCTTGTTGCAAATGCTTCCACGAAAGCCGCTCTCACCAACACGGATGCGCCTCGAACCGAGCCTAAAACTTTATTTTAGAGTTTATTTCAAGTACCAAGACTAGTTCTACCTAGGGTGTGCGTTTTCTAGAAGACATCTTTTTGGAAAACTACAAACAAACCGTTAGTTTAAATTCAATCAGCTCAATTTTGGTATCATCTCGATGAGGAATTAAAAGGCTCAGTCAATAATACCAAAATTGAGCTGATTCAAATTTAAACTAACAGTTTTTTTGTAGTTTTCTAAAATAGGTGCCTTTTAGAAAACGTAATACTGAGAGGAACACACTCGAGTTATCATTTGCACAGTTGAATGTGTCATACCGAGTTTATTAGAGGCGGTGCAGTGAAATTTCGTGTACGCAAGATTTGGAGTCGCTGGAACTAAAAGTGTGCCACCCGATAGAAGAAATGAGGAATTCGAATCGGTTGCTGAGACCTGGAAAGAGTTGATCTTTGTTTGTTTTCCAACCTTTCCACTCACTAGTTCAACATCGTTTTTGTGCCAAGTAATTCTTGGTGTCGGATGACCCTCAGCTGTGCACGGTAAAGCGACAAAATCCGTTAGTTGACGCGGGTAGAAATAGATTGACGCCGGGGAATTCCCGCTCAAATGGACAGCGCCTAGAAGATGAAGGATTTTGTTTAGGATGAAGGATGAAGGATTTCTCACCTTTTGGTATCAATTGTTGTTGAAATAAATAATCTTCTCCTTGCGATATGTGAAAGACTGCAGACGAAGGGATAAACAGCTGAGGCTGGGACGGCTGTTCTGAAAGATAATTGTTTCAACTCGAATGTTGAAATCGTTTGGTTGGTTCTTCTATTGGATTGGTGAATTGAAAACTGCCGGCTATTGTCATATAGTAACAGTTTGAGCACTTTCTTCAAAAGAAACCCATTTTGGTGTCAATGGAAAAGTTGTAGAGAATCAAAAATCAAGCTTATATCCAAATTTTCAGAACGATTGAAAAACTGGTTCTCAAGAAATGCCAAATTTACGAATTTTCACAAAACTTACATTTTAAGCGAAACTACTAAGTGTATCTTTTTGGAAATTTGGCTATAAGCCTAATTTTTGATTCTCTACAACTTTTCCATTGACACCAAAATGGGTTTCTTTTGAAGAAAGTGCTCAAACTGGGACATCTCCAGTCCTCCATTTTTGAGTCTCACACTTGTCTCACACCCAAACCAAAATCCTACTACGAAAGAGGAATCCGAAATCCGCAAATTGCCTGTAAATGGGCAGAAGTCGCCCCTTTTGATTACTATTAATTCCGGATCATGAGTAATGAGCTTGCGGGAGAACACTTCGATTCGGAAGAAGCAGTCAAAAATTGGCTTTGAAAGTTTTTCGATTCGAAACCAAAAATCCTACTACGAAAGAGGAATCCGCAAATTGCCTGTAAAATGGGCAGAAGTCGTCAATAATAATGGAGGTTATTTGGAAGGAATTGATGGTTTTATATTGAATAAATTTTAGTTCAAAGTCCGACAGTTTTTAATTCACCAACCCAATAAATCGCGACTTTTTTTATTCGTCGGATTACTGTAATTGTGCCTTTATATTAGGCGATTCTTTTTGTCATTTTTTCATCATTTTTCCCTCTCTTCAAAATCATTTTCTTCCCACTAAACCTCTTTTGATCAGTTTTCTTTTGTTTTGAACACTTTCAAATCACACGACAAGCGAATTGTATTGATTCTGGATCATATTCGGATCAATTTTAGCATCAATAGCCGCAAAAAAGAACTTTACTTCTTAAAATAATAGTTGTAAGTTGTATTGTAATCAAATTTAGCTCTAATAATAAACGGTAGTTGTAATAGGTTTTGATGTAAATGCCTTACATTCTATATTCTCCGGTCGGATCTCTCCTCAAAGCGGATGTTCTCCACAAATCGGCCTCTTTTTCCGTGAAATCCTCTCCTTCCGACCCAAGCAACCAAGTTGTTTCAGCTAATCCCAAATCGTAGAGGCTCTTTAAAAGATAATATTCTGATGATTTCCTCGTGTTTTTTATGTAGTCTAATATTTTTTTACCTGTAGAAGATCGACGAGATCTCCAATAAGTAGCGAATCAGTGGGTGAGACGAGCCGTCCACCAGCAAGTCCACATTCTTTTTGCGCGCCTTCTTTATCCTAAAATTTCTTTTCAATATTGTTTTCGAAAACTCTAAAATTGTCAACTTTAAGAAAACTACCGTCTAGTTTTGTCTATTCTATCTACTTATTTCTGATTCTGTGAGAGTAACGATGAACCAAAAGATACAAAAAGTAGATAGAAAGTAAATGGTACAAAAAGTGCATGAATGAAACTAAAAATAAGGTTACGGTAGTTTTAGAAAACGCAAAAATTTCATTTTATTCTATTCATGCCAACCTTGGCTATCAAAAATGGTCGAACGCAGGCACTTCCCGACGATTGCCAACCAAATGGACAAGCGCTTTCATCTAAAAACTTTCATCTAAACGAGATTTTTGATAATAATTCAAATTGGCGAATAAAACTAATATTCTTTTTTAATCCCTCAACTTTTCTCCCCCAAAATCCGAGAATTTCGTGTGCCTTGTGGTTGATGGGTGTAATGATGGGGTCTTGTGAGTGGGGGAGGGCAATAAAGAGATGGGTATTCACAATTGCTCTTCGGTAACACTGTTACTCTCATTTCACTTATCCCCTTCCTTTTCCCTTTTCCTTTTCTCGAAAGATTCTTCTCAAACGGTCAATTACATGCGCGCGTCAATGAAGTGACCACATTATGGCGATCGAGTCAAAAGAAGTCGACATCTTTGCCCTATTCATTGTCACAATTCAGCTGGGTGCCACTAACAAAGAGGAAGAGCTACAGTAAGAAATAGAAAACGTAAAGCTTAGAGATAAACAAATCAGTTCTATTGGCTAAACGACAACTCATTATTTCTCTCAATGTCTTTTCTAAAATGTGCTAATTTTAAAAAAGTATCGTAATCTTTTCTCTAGTTTTTCTAACTTATGAATCGATTTGTTCATGCAAAAATGTAAAGGAATTAAAGATAGAAAATGGATACCCGATTTTCTTCGAATAGAAGAAAAGTATCATCGCGTACTCCGTAGCAGCCTTTTTTCTTTTCTGCATAAAATTTTCAATGAGTGCTATGGGGCTGGAAAATGACTCAAAAAATACCACATGAGCTAACAGATTTTTTGAGCCATTTTCCAGCTCTATAGCACTTCATTGAAAGCTTTTATGAAAAGAAATTTTAAAAGGGTTGCCAGGTGAGCACGATCATAATACTTTACCCGGTCTTCATTCGAAGAAATACGGTAGATTGAATAAAAGTGGCAAGATTACGGTACTGGAAGTTGCCATGTTTTAAAAGGACACGATTTAAAACACTAAATATCTTTTTCGTTCCAAGTATCAACTTTTCCCATTGTAACACTTACCAATAAATTCCAATGTTTTCCGCAAAGGTGCGAGCAATATTATCAGAAGTAACGAAATCGACGTCATCTCAACATTGTCACGAAATTTTAAACTGAAAATTAATTACTGTTTTAAATGAAAGTGAAACTTTGACAAATGAAAGACAAATGAAAGAAAAAAAAAAAAAAGACAAATGAAAGACAAATGAAAAGGAAAAGTCGAGGAAGAAGATGAGTTTGTGAGTGAATGGTTTGGGATTAGAAAGTGAGAAATGAAAAAGATTGGATGGAGAAGTGGAGGAAGCAGAACAGAATGAAGGAGAATGGCCCGAGTAGGGATTAGTTTGAACATAAATCAAAACCACGACCAGAAGGGACAAAATTGGGAAGAAAGGGGGTGAAGGTAGGCCAAGAAATGGGTATCATGACGGCGAAATGTCTTTGAAAGTATTACGGGTGTGTGTTGTGTATGTTTGAGATTTCTATTGGTGGATCACACATTTGTAAAAGTCCTGGGTTGGTTCAACTTTTCCAAAAAGTTACAAGAAACAGAGGGGAAAACGGTTTACTTTTTTAATCTCCTAAGCAGAATTTGCATTTATCTAGCTTATAAATGTAAATTTTAAACCGTAAATGCAAGGTAGATAAAAAGGTTCTAAAGAAAACCTTTCATTCAGAGCTTTAAACAAAAAAAAATGGCATAGTGCAACGAAAAGCAATGAAAATAAAAGAAAATTCACTGTTAAAGCTACCCTTTTTCTAAAGTAGCTTCATCAGGGTCAGCTGGTGCAAGAAGTTGTATATAAAGAATAAAAAAAAGAAGCAGATATTGTCCCTTTTCTTTTTCGTTCTTCTATTCATTGTAATCGTTGAAGTGGGGAACATCTTGTGGATCGACCATTTGCCTTAATCCACTCTATCCATACTCTCTTGCTTGTGTCAAACAATGAGACTCAACCATTGTACTCAAGCATCTTCACAAGAAAATGGGAATTTATGGAATTTGGAAATTCAAGGATTTAAGGATTCAAGGATTTAAGGATTCAAGGATTCAAGGATTCAAGGATTTAAGGATTCAAGGATTCAAGGATTCAGGTATTCAAGGATTCAAGGATTCAAGGATTCAGGTATTCAAGGATTCAAGGATTCAAGGATTCAAGGATTCAGGTATTCAAGGATTCAAGGATTCAAGGATTTAAGGATTCAAGGATTCAAGGATTCAAGGATTTAAGGATTCAAGGATTCAAGGATTCAGGTATTCAAGGATTCAAGGATTCAAGGATTCAAGGATTCAGGTATTCAAGGATTCAAGGATTCAAGGATTCAAGGATTCAGGATTCAAGGATTCGGGATTCAAGGATAGGATTTAAGGATTCAAGGATTCAAGGATTTAAGGATTCAAGGATTCAAGGATTTAAGGATTCAAGGATTCAAGGATTTAGGTATTCAAGGATTCAAGGATTCAAGGATTCAAGGGTTAATTTTTTGTTTAGAAAATATTTGACAGTCTATAGGAAAAGGATTTTGATCAATCATTTCAAAAAAGATCAAGATAAGCTCAGATAATTTGGAGCCAGATAAACAGTAAGATAATATTTTAAAACTGTAAATCAAAATCCAGCAATTTTTAGTGTACCAGAGTGTTCCAAGCTATAGAATAAAATAAATAAAGAAATACAATAAAAATTGAGTAAATAAAAATCATTCCATTTGTTAAATACCGTAAGAACTTTAGCTAGACTAAACTAAAATCAGATCAACTCAAATCAGATCGTCTAAAACCAGGATCAATTAAAACTTTAGCCAGAATTACAGAATAAAACTTTCAAGCACAATTTCAAAAGTGCTTTGAGCTGCTTTTAGCTGCTTTTTAGCTGATTCCGTATGCAATTACGAGTCACAAGCAATCAGGTGTGCGCCCAAAATCCATATATAGAGCCTCATAAAGTTCGAGTTCGGGTCCAGACAATGACGATTGGGCAATGAGGGGGAATTGGGATCGAAAGAGAGACATTGTGACCCCGTCTCCCCAGAGTTCACTCATTTCGCATAATCAATTTCCATACAGACTATGCAAGAATGAGAACAATTGCATAGATATTTATGAAGTAAAGGGAACATTTCTTAAAGATCATATGAGTCGATTTGTTCTTTCCTGTTCCCCCAATTTTCCCTCTCTTGACCATAAGAGGGTCATCTCTTTTTCGGCTACTCATCCCTCACTAAACCTTTTTCTTTGCATATACTTTCTTTGAAAACAACTCTTGTGTACACAAATGTTAACCAGTTAAGGTAAAGCTGAATACAGCATTTCGTAATCCCTTTTCATTCAACCATGGTTTAACCTCTGGTTTTATCAGCTTCTTTGAATAAATCTAAATAAAATAGTAATAAAATAATAATAAAATAGTAATAAAAATAGTATTTAATGATTAGTTATATAAAATATATTTTCAATTTTGTGATATGAGCTTAACACGAAGAACAAGAAGAACAAGAACAAGAAGAACAAGAAGAACAAGAAGAACAAGAAGAACAAGAAGAACAAGAACAAGAAGAACAAGAACAAGAAGAACAAGAACAAGAAGAACAAGAACAAGAAGAACAAGAACAAGAAGAACAAGAACAAGAAGAACAAGAACAAGAAGAACAAGAACAAGAAGAACAAGAAGAACAAGAACAAGAAGAAAGTTATTAGGCCAAAAGGCAAACTTGACAAATTTTCTAGCAACAATTTTCCAGAAGCATATAAAAATTATACATAGTCCCAGAGAATAAGTAAAAAATAAAAAGAGAAGAGAAAAAATCTCTTGTTTTTGGGGAAATGAGAAGAGATTTGAGGAGCAAAAAGGGAAAGAGAAATGAATATGCAATGTCTGTGTGAGGATCGCGTGCCAAAATCTCTCCACGCATTTCGATCAGCTATCCATTCAAAAATATTAGCCTCTTCAGAAAAACTCTCAACTTTTTGCATTAAAATTTCATCGAAAAATAGAAAAGATATGCGAAAAAAAGATTCTTTGCTTGAAATCAATGGGAAAGTTGTGTTTACCCGAGAGATTGATGTCGTCTAATCGTTACTGAGTTGAGCATCTTGATTTTGATCGTTACAAGTATTTGTTTACAAGTTATTTCCAACAAAAAGAAGTAATGTTCATCTTGTTTTCTTTTAATTCAATTTCTAAAAGATATCTATTTTAGAAAACTGCTGTAGTCGAACAGCTGTTTACATTTGATCAGCCTTATCATTTGATAAGGAATTCCCAGCTAATCATCCAAAATTGACAGCTAGATTACGGTAGTTTTAGATGTCTTTAGAAAAGCACAATAGCTTAGAGTTTCTTTGAGAGACACAAAAGCATAAGAAACGATTTTGCATTTGCATTTGCATTTGAAACATTTGCAAACATTTGCAAACTAAATAAAAACCCAGTAAAGCCTTTGAACCTTTAAACATTGTGTTACAGAGTCAAACCAAAAAAAAAACCTACAAAAAGTGCTGCACAAGCTAAATATAACCCTTCAAAAAAAAAGCTCAATGAAACCCTTCAAAGGGTTTCATTTAAAATCTCCAGTTGTGCGGTGAAAATGTGATGTACTCTAGAGACCCAATTACATTCGTGTTCGCAGACAGCTGCGCAAATTTTCGACGCGATTTTCGAACTGCATCTTTTTTTCATGCTTAAATTGACTAAAACGTAAAAAAAAAACAATAAACTCAGTGGTATAAGAGAACTGACCATAATTTCTTGGAAAGCGCTTCAAAAATTACGGGGGGTAAAGGAAAAGAGCTCACCCTTTCCAAAGAGAAGCTGCCAATTAGAAATCTTGGAGGTAAAGAGAGAGAAAAAAAGTGGAAGAAAAGGGAAAAGTGGAATAAAAAGGAAATAAAAAAGAAGTGAAATGGATGAAAAATGAGAGATCTCATTTAAAAAAATTACCCCAAATCCCCTTACAAATTTATTGGTTTGGCTTTATTGGCATCTTACAACTTTATTGGCTAACAGACTTATTGGTTTGGTTTTAAATCATTCGAATATAAGACAAAAGATTTATCAAAAATTAAGATAAGCTAGCTTTAGAATTGCTTAGGAATTTGGATTGCTTAGGAATTTGAATTTGGAAAACTATTTTAATATTTCCTTCAGATTTTGCCGTTATTAGGATAATTTCGACTCATTCAATTCAAGTTTTGATTGATTCAATTTGATTTGATTCGATTTTTCTTCAATCAATCAAAATTAAATCGAAAAAATCTGATGGAAAGCTTTCTACATTATTCATCTTTTAGAAAAAGCAGCAAATTTGATAATAAAAGTTGATAAAAGTTGAGACAAATGAGTTTTTTTCGTCAGTTTTTTCCCTAGAAAACTCTAATTTAAGGGACTAAAGTGTTTCCGATGTAATATGGTTGTGGACGGACATAAAAAAAAGCAAATAAACGTATTCTGAAAGACAAAAGAGAAAAGAGGCGTCGAACTCTCTCGCAACAATATGGGATTTTGAGGGACATTGGATCGAATGACACCACCGATTCTCCTTTAGCCCCATCCCCTTTCTCTTCTCTACCACAATACACTTGTCTTTAATTGTTTCACGATTACTGAAAGTTTCTAAAGATTAGGGTGGCTAGTTCTTGGTGAAAATAAACAAAATCCTTAAATTTTATCGAATATGGCTTTACCATTGCGTAGAAAGATTGAGAACTGAAAGACAAAAAGAGAAAAGAGGCGTTAGAAATTTAAAAAAGCTATTCTATCCAATAGCAAAACTGAAATAGTTAAAATATTTCAGATTCTGGAAACAAGATCTACCGTAAATACTGTAATAGTACCCTACCCCCATAATGACAGTGCGGAGTGTTGCGTAGTCTAGCTTTGAACGCGTTTTTCTCGACACTGGTTTATGCTACAATGCGCGCTTAGTTATCAAAAAAACAGCTGAAATTCAGGGCTATTTTTTGATACCAAAGACACATTTTTGAAAGTACGGGCGCTTTGAAAAAATGAAATACTAAAAAACTTTTGCGACTACGCGACTGTACGAGGGGTGGGGTACTATTACAGTATTTACGGTAGGTTCTTATAAGGTAAAAGTTGATAAAAATCAAAAAAGACTAAAAATTTGAACGTTACAGTAACCAGAAAGAGGAAATCGTTGCGTCAGAGTGGGCTATCTCTTTTCAGCTGTTTCCATTTTTGGGAGAGGGTCAAAGATGGTGCGGTGTGTCAAGAAGCGTGCTTAATTTGCATAAGCTGACCCTACCAAAGGCTATGTTCTTTTTCGCGCACCAATAAAAGACAAGAAATGAGCTTTGCGTCAATCAAGAGAGTGATGTGTCCTCTCTTCTTCTTGACTAGAGCGGTTTAATGTGACAATCAGAGGTCTTCTCCCTTCCACTAAACAGCATATGGATGGATATTAGTGCCCCTCTTCTTGTGGACAAATCAAAAGGAATTGAAAGGACGAGGTGACAATTCGGTTCACTCTTTTCCCCCTCTCGACTAATGAAACAAATCACCGATTTGAGGGTGATGAATGAGTGAGGAGATTAGCTTCGATGAGTTCTTTTGGTTATTCTTGAAGACTTTTGGAAAAAGAGTGTTTTCTAAAGTATATCAACTTCCGAAAACTACCATAATCTTGACGACTTTTGTAGTTTTTATCTTTTATGAACCTTTACATCATAGTTCATTTGAGAATTAAGTAGTTCGAGTAGTTCATTTGCGAATTGAACCCGAGAATCTGAAGGAATTTCACTTGACATCTCCAGTAAAGTGTTCCATTATGAGAGAATATAGGATCAAATTTTATAGCCAAATATTGCATAAGAGTAGTTCATACGAACTTCATTCAAAACTTCAAGATTCATTTCGAGTAGGGGTTTCAAATGCAAATGAAGTATGCATTTCCTTGTGTGTTTGGTGTCCGATAATCTCCCTTTCTTTCAACGACGTCTTAAGACATTGTTTACTTTGAATTAAATGGAGAGAATGGAGAGAAACGCTTCTTGCAAAGAAAAGTTTTAAAATATGACATAAACATTTTACTAGAAAGTAGTAAAATGCGAAAAAAAAAGAGTGTTATGAGATAGGAAACATGGAAAAAGAGCTAGACAAGAAATGTGGATCAGATTTCACATTGCAATGAGACAGCAATAACTATTGAAATCGATAAAAGTATACATTGTTTATTTCAAAAGTTCAGAAGATTTCTCCTTGAAATCAAGACAAAACCAGTGCGTCAAGGTAAAGGGCCAGCGAAATAAGGGATCGAAAGTCGTAAATTTTTAATCGTTTCACTCCTTTCTCGTGAAGGTAATGTCATTGATGGTTAGTGAACCGAGAAGAAAACTGACGATGTGAAGGAATACTGGAGATTTCTTTGCAAAGAAATAAACAAAAGAGTCGACTTATGAGGGTAATACAGATAGATCTTATAGTTCTTATAAATTTCAAAAGTGATATTGTATCCTTCTTCGTGAATCGGGCCAAAAGAAGATAGGTAGATTGGATATCTGCCTATCAGCTTTTTTTAGCAGCAGCTTTTTTAGAGTTTATTTTTTATTGGATATCTACCTATCTTTTGGCCCGGTTCACAAAGAATGATACAATATCACTTTTGAGCTTTTAAAGTGTAGATAAATTGGAGAAAAACAAGATTATGATAGTTTTTAAAAATTGACATGTTTTAGAAAATGCACTACTTGAGGGGAACACATTATTTTGACGTAAAAAAGTGAGAAAATAGGAATCATCCGTAACTGAGAAAGTGATACCTTGAGAGAAACAAAGAGGATAATTGACACACAGAGCTTGTCACATATTTTGAGTGTTGTGTGGGCTTTCCTGGAGGATTGGTCACTCATATTTTTGTTTTCTGTCATTTCTCTCCCACTTTCCACCTTCGAGATTTTAAAGTGCCCATTTGTTAGACCGGATTTTTTTTCGATGAAGAACACTTGGACCAGATATTCTTACTCCAAGCTTTAAAAAAGAAATTATTGTACAGCTTCAGATAAAACGCTTCTCATAATGACATTCAGAAATCCCAAGCTAGGTATAAATACTTTTAGAATGCTTTCACTACTAAAATGAAAATATTAAATACATATATTTTGTATCTTTTGTTTTGTAGAGAAAATTTTGCGGAAAAAGTCTCTTATAATGCTTATGCGCGGGTGACGAAGACATGGTTGTGTAGTGTAGCGGAATGCAAAGCTGGAGGCCGGGGGTGCGACTCCTTGAAATTTTGCTTTTTTTGAACAGCTGTTTTATAGGGTTCCCTCATCCGCCTTCTCTTCGTAATTGCTAAATATTCAAAAATTTGTTAAAATCTTTCTATTTAAGTGTTCAACAAGAAATAATATAAATATCATACCAAACAAAAAATTTAACAAAGATGGGAACAATCGATGAAATGAGTAAAACATAGTCCAATACTACATTTAGCACAACACATAAAAGCGTATGAGCTGCGATGCATAGCTTCGCACATTCGATTTTATTAATTTCATCGATTGTTCCCATCTTTGTTAAATTTTTTGTTTGTTATGATATTTATATTATTTGTTGTTGAACACTTAAATAGAAATATTTTAACAAAATTTTTTAATATTTAGCAATTACGAAGAGAAGGCGGATGAGGGAACACTATAAAACAGCTGTTCAAAAAAAAGAAACCTTTAAAGGAGTCGCACCCCCGGCCTCCAGTTTTGCATTCCCACACGTTATCCGCTACACTACGCAACCATGTCTCCGTCACAAGCGCATAAGCGTTATAAGAGAGGTCAAAAAATTTGTTTGCCAAATTCCTTGCGATTCCGACCTATCTAGCAAAAATGGACAGCAGATTCGGAATCAGCGTAAAATTCTGCATCTGATGGTCTAGGTCTCATTTCGATTAGCCACCTTCATTTCGTGACCTTCCCTCGTTAGTCGAATCTAGTGTTTTGTCGATACTCTTCTTCTATTCTGAAGATACAGATATATGCTGAAGCGATTGGTGTTAATTTAAGCACGTTTTTGATAATCCTATTTCATGACTTGCCCTGTGTTCTAGTCTGCTGTACTTTAACCACCGAACGTTATCTCAAAGTTGATGACACTTGGGAAGCTGCAATACTAACTTGAAACATGTTGAAAATACTCTAAAATTAGTACCAATCGCTTCAGCATATACAATTACCCTGAAATAGAAGAAAAGTATCGATACGAAATGCTCAAAACACTAGATTCGACGAAGCCAGGCCAAAAGTGGTCCCTCCCAACCATCAAAACACCAAAATTTTTGCCGCCATTTCCCCGCATTTTTTCTAATTGAAGACGACAGTTTCTTTACGAAAAGTATTTTAGTGCGTAGCTTTTACGCTTCTGTCAATCACTTGCAGTTCAGAAAGCTCCCCCTTTTACATGACGTTATTTGTTGGCACAGCGCTCTTTTCACCGTATACATTCTTTACTTTCCACACAGAAAAAGAGAAACTTCAAACGCAAAATCTCAATTTTTCGTCAGATTTACACATTTCAATGCTAATCTAGTAAAATCATGATGTAATTGGACATTGAATTGCATAAATAGGTGTTTTATTGATACCTTGTTGGAGTATTATGCGTTTCTTTTAAGTACTCTTGTATCTTGCTTTCTTTTCATGCAGTTTTTTTATTTCAGGGCCTTATGGATTCGTCCACTGAGCATGTGCCAGAAAAGATTAATTTCGCCGAAGAAGAAGCGAAAATCTTAAAGATTTGGAACGAGAACAAAACATTCGAGAAATCGCTGGAACTGGCTAAGAATCGACCGCATTACACTTTCTTCGATGGGCCGCCTTTTGCTACCGGATTGCCTCATTATGGGCACATTCTTGCAGGTACCTTTGAAACAGTTTTCAAAACTAGATGTACTGTTTAGGGACCATCAAGGATGTTGTGACACGCTGGGCTCAACAAACTGGGCATTATGTGGAGCGCCGCTTCGGCTGGGATACCCATGGATTGCCTGTCGTAAGTTATCGATCTTAAGATATTTGGATACAGTTTACTTTACGAACGATTAACGGCTGATTTAGGAATATGAAATCGACAAAGCGCTTGGCATCAGTGGACCTGCTGATGTCATGGCCATGGGAATTGATAAATATAATGCGGAATGTCGAAAGATTGTCATGCGTTATGCCTCTGAATGGGAACACAGCGTTAATCGAATGGGAAGGTATATATTTATATAGTTTCATTTAGTTATATAGTTTATCAATACCAAAATTAGATGGATCGATTTCAAGAATGACTACAAAACGATGTATCCGTGGTTCATGGAGTCCGTGTGGTGGGCTTTCTCAGAGTTATTCAAGAAAGGCCTTGTTTACAAAGGAGTCAAGGTTTGCCCCTTTTTTCAAATCAAATCAGTCATGACTTTCAGGTGATGCCTTATTCTACTGCTTGCTGCACTCCATTATCGAATTTCGAAGCTGGCTTAAATTACAAAATGGTCAACGATCCGGCAGGTATTTTAAAATTTGTTCTACTTTTCTTATGAATACTTCAGTTTGCGTTGGTTTCAAAGTTGAAAATATGGAAAATCGATACTTGGTCGCGTGGACCACCACACCGTGGACACTGCCTTCTAATCTGGCTCTCGTTGTTCATCCAGACTTAGAATACGTGTTGGCACGAGGTATACTACATTTTAAGACCATGAGTCATTTTGTTCTATTCAGATAAAAACACAAATGTCGAATACATTGTCATGGAATGCCGCCTTGGAGAACTCAAAAATGATCATTTGGAGATTTTGGAAAAGGTTGAGCAAAGTTGCCACTAATTTAATGTGTTTTAATTCAGTTCCCGGGAAAAAAACTCGAGGGTACTTTATATGAACCGCTGTTTCCATATTTCAAACATATGCGCCAAGAGCGAAATGCTTTCCGTGTCCTCGTCAACACGTTCGTCACCACTGATCAAGGAACGGGAGTTGTACATGAAGCTCCTTACTTTGGAGAGGTATGCTTTGAGTGAATTTCTTTCTTCATTTCTTTATTTAGATTGACTTCCAAGTTTGCCTTGAAAACAAAATCATCACTAAAGATATGAAGGTCGTTTGTCCTGTTGATGAAACTGGCCGGTAAATCTTATTAAAATGACTATATGTTGAATCTTTTAGCTTTACCAATGAAGTCTCTGATTGGGCTGGAATGTATGTCAAAGAAGCAGATAAGCTCATCATCAAGAATTTAAAGGAAAGGGGACATCTGGTAAGTGTTTTTTGGGCAAGTTCAACTTTAATTTTTGATTAACGTGAAAACACTAGAAATATTTTAGGTTCATCGCGGCGAAGTTGAACATTCTTATCCTTTCTGCTGGCGCTCTGATACTCCACTACTGTACAAAGCAGTCCCTTCATGGTTCATTCGAGTAGAAGAAGTCGTGCCAAAACTATTGGAGAACAATGAGAAGACTTATTGGTTTTGTATTGTTTATTAATTTTTGTATTATTCATTTTAGGGTTCCTTCAATAGTCAAAGAGAAGCGTTTTGCAAACTGGCTTCGTGATGCGCGTGATTGGGCAGTTTCGAGGAATCGTTTTTGGGGGCACACCAATAAATCTTTGGGTTAGCCGATCTTTACTGATTGATCATTTAACCTTTTTAGGTTTCTGATGACGGAGAAGAAATTGTGTGCATCAGTTCAATTGCACAACTAGAAGAATTGAGCGGCGAAAAGATAACCGATCTTCACCGAGAAAGGTGATATAGTTTATTTTTCCTATGGCAAAAATTTTTAGCGTTGATCATATTACCATTCCTTCACGAACAGGAAGAGGGGTTTTGAAACGAGTCAGCGAAGTGTTCGATTGTTGGTTTGAATCTGGATCGATGCCCTATGCACAGAATCATTACCCATTTGAAAGAAAAAAAATCTTTGAGGTTAAACTGTTTTTTGATTTGCGTACCATAAATTTGTTTAGGAAAATTTCCCTGCGGACTTCATTGCTGAAGGCATTGACCAAACTCGAGGATGGTTTTACACTTTATTGGTACTTTCAACGTGTCTTTTTGGGAAGCCACCATTCAAGGTTAGACTTCTTGTGAGGTTCATCTTGTTCGATACTAATGAACTGGAAAAACTAAATCAGTATCTTAAGAAAGCTAGCATGCAACAAGAAAAGCACGATTCTATTTAGAATCTGATTTGCAATGGGCTGGTCTTGGCCGAAGATGGAAGTAAAATGTCCAAACGAAAGAAGAATTATCCGGACCCTATGGAAATCGTCAATAAATATGGAGCAGATGCACTTCGGTATGAAAAATGTGTGCATCCTGAAAAAATTATTGTAGACTCTATTTGATCAACTCGCCTGTGGTTCGTGGAGAAAATTTGCGTTTCCGAGAAAGTGGAGTCAATGAGCTTTTAAAAGATGTTTTCCTGCCTTGGTTTAATGCGTATCGCTTCTTGGCTCAAAACTTGAAGACTTATGAAAGTGTATGTGCCAGTTTGATGAAAAAAAAGCTTTATTAATTTAGGAAAGTGGAGCTCCATTTGAGCTCGTACCACTTGCCAAGGACGGAAATGTCATGGATCGTTGGGTTGAGTCCTTCACCAATTCTCTTGTGCGTTTTGTAACAACAGGAAATGAATGAGTACGTTAAAGGTTACATTATTTTTTGTAATAGTATCATTTAGGTATCGTCTTTATGCCGTCGTTGCGCCACTTACACGTTTCTTCGACACGTTAACCAATTGCTACATTCGCCTCAACAGGAAACGCATCAAGGTACTTGAATTGGATTGGACTATCTAATTGAACGTAGCTTAAGAATTTATTTTAGGGAGAAAGTGGTATAGAAGAACAAGCCGTGGCCCTTTCAGTACTATGCCGAGTGCTGTCCATCATTTGCCGTTTGATGGCACCGTTTACACCATTCTTCTCGGAATACGTGTGGCAACATCTCAAACAGGTTCATCTAGAAACTTTACAACGAAAAAATATTTAGGTGGTTGGGGCCACTGAAGAATCTGTTCATTTCTGTCTGGTTCCAAAGCCAAATGAAGACGCCATTGATGAAGGTGTTGAAAGAAGCGTTCAGGTTTTTAGACAAAAAGTACAATTGACTAGTGTGTTTAGGCTATGAGGTCTGTCATGGAATTGGTCCGAGTAGTGCGAGATCGTAAAGGCATTGCCATCAAGGTTTGATTATAGTTCGAAGACAGGCAAAAAGATGAGATTTAGTATCCGCTCAAAGAGATGATTGTAATCAACAGAGATGCACAATTTCTTGACGATGTTGATGATTTGAGTCACTACATTCTCTCCGAGGCAAGTCTCACATAGTTTGTATCAAATACAGATTCATTTAGTTAAATGTGCGCAAGCTTGTTGTGAGCAGCGATAAGGAAAAGTATGGAGTTCGATTGAAAGTAAGTTTTTGCACCAACTCTCCAATAGATAATTTTAGGCTGAACCTAACTTCCGTTTACTCGGGGCTCGACTTAAAGGCGATCAGAAGAAAGTGGCCGAGTATTTGAAGAAAGAAATTAGTCAAGCAGAGCTTGCACAATTTCTGAATGAAGGTTGTTAATCTTTTGAGTAAAACTGATCTTTACTGAGACATTTAGGAAAATTGGTGGTAGTGGGATACGAATTGACAAGCGAAGAGGTTTCAGTCAGCTACAGTGGGATGGGTGATCAAGCGGCGACACACCATGAATATCATTCCGATGTTAATGTACGTCTTAGAAAAATTGAAAGTTTAAAAAGTAATGATTTGAGACTATCGTGGTTGTCGATGTCTCGGAAGATGATACGTTGCTAGAAGAAGGATTGGCTCGAGAGGTCACGAATCGCATTCAGAAGCTACGCAAAGCTGTTTGAATTCTTGCTTTAACATTTTTATCAAAGTTTAGGCCAAGTTAGTGCAAACCGACAAAGCCTCTGTTTATTGTACTGTGTCTCCACCAGGGTGTAAATTATCTTTGGTTCTTGATGCACACAAGGAAAAGATTCAACAGGTTGTTACCTTTACCAAGCTTTTCATGAAAAAATATATTTAGGCTACCGGTACACCAATGTTTTTTGAAACTCCGCCCACGGGAATGAAAGTGGATGTGGAGTTGGCAGAAGCGCAAGCCAAAATTAAGGATGCCGGGGGAATCAAGGTTTGATGTTCACATACTTTTTGAACTGTTCAGTTTAGATCTGGCTAGTTAGCGAGAACGGGCCACAAAGCAAAACAAGCGCTAAGCAAGATGAACTTCTTGTTCTCTACAATGGTAAATCTTTGTCTGTGCGACTCACGACAAAGGACGCAAAAATGGAAAAATATTCGGACTTGCTTTATGAGGTAAGCATGTTATCGGTCCGCAGTCAGCTATGAAAGCTGAGTTATCTGTTGGTCCAGATTATTGATATATCTGATTATTGAAATTTAGATCAGATCAGCTTTTGGTCTTTGGTCAGGATCGGTTAAGCTGGCCATGGAAGATGGGAAGTTAGTTCACTCGACATCTCCAATCGGGAAGTTAATGGGAAAAACCGTCAATGTTGTTGTTTAATTAGTTTTTGTCAAATAAATTTTTAAACATTACTCTTTTGGTTACCTATTTGTTTGAAACAACGTCAAATTGCATGTTAAACGCTTGCGGGGTAAATATTACCGTACTCCAAACGGGAGAATTGGCGCCTCTTTAAAATTTTCAAAGACAGCTGCAAGCCACGGCCCAAATCCATGACTTCGTTGTTTACATTACATATCTTTTTGCAGCCTTTTACATAAGAATTTGATTAATGAGTCAAAATGTGTTGTAAAGCTATTTTAGATCCGAAGCTTCGAATCATGGTTGAGGGCAAAGAAATTAATGGCACCTTTACTATCAGCTCGGTAAAGAGTTTTTCCAAGTTAATATTTGGAATTTTTTAGGGATATCTTCCGCTGATCAAACACTACGAAACCCTTCTGGCAGAGGTAACTTTCAAAAGTTTATGAAACTTTTTATTAGGTTGACCGAAATCATCTCGAGCTTGGAGCTTGCTCTTCCACGTCAACAGGTATCAAGTAATCATTTGGCTAAAAAATCAAGTAATTATTTAGAAATTGATGGGCTCGCGGAACTACTAAAGAAGTTGACGACTTTGGAAGCGACAATTTTGGCTCAAAGGCAAGAACGCGAACTACTTTTGGATCAGCAAGAAAAAGTCAAGGAGAGCGTAAAGCAACTGCTTGAGAAGGTAAGTGAAATGTACTATGATATGTTATGGATTTTGTCTTAATTTAAGACTTTTAATTCTAGAGAGGTGTGCGTTTTGCAGCACAGCAACCGGAATTGAACAAGGTATGTTTTTTTGCTGATTTCTTCATTTTGGATTTTAGTTGGCGGCCGTTTCACTGGTACAAGAAAACAAAACAAATGCTCTCCAACAAGCCACGCTAAACTCTGAGGTAATTTTCTTTGATTGATTCATTTGTTTCAATTGTAATTTAGGTAGCCGACCGATTAGACGGTTTTCTCCTATCCGAGCAGGATATTGCCGCAATTCCAACGTACATTCGTCAGCGTTTAACTGTCACGGAATGCAATGAAGTCCTTACTACGTAAGCCATTCTATTTTGTCTTATAGTTCTTTGTGTTAAGAATCGACAAACTGCTCATCGAAAAAGCCAAGCTTTTCAAACGAAGTTACATCAAGTTGGCTATCCACGAAAAGGCTAAAGCCGACGAATGGCGGAAAGTGGTCAGTTATTTTTAGCTTGTAACCAGGCTAATTTTTCTAGGAATGCGCCAAACTGAAAGGGCAAGCCTATGTGACTGAAAAGCAACTTCGTGCATCTTTAACGGGCAAGGTTAGTTGATTTATCTATCAATTTACTTTTCCTAAGAGGGTCTTGTAGAGTATTTGATTTAAAAAGCAAAATTAAAATGTCTATTAAAAGTTTCTACCCATGACTAAAAAATAATTTTAGGGTAAACTGGCTCTCAAAACGGCGATTCCAAGTCTTCGACATCTTGGACGCATCAAGCAGCTGAGAGAGAACGGAAACGAGTACTACGTCAAACTTTGGTAATAAAAATTACCAAAGTTTTTGTTGCGGTAGTTGCGGTATTCAAATTTGTAAGTTGTTTACTTTGAATTGATTCTCTTTCTAGTCTTTTTTTAATTTCATCATTAAATACTGTCTTCGTGTTGTTTATATATGACCTTTGGTACGTTGGATTTCTCTTGTGTGTGTGTACTTCCGAATAAATTTATCGTTTAAAAATGCATTGAAATGAAAGATAAACAATAGACACGAGCGAACTAGGTCAGTTTTTATGCAGTAAACTAAGACTTCGTATTATCCGGTTAAGTACCGCTTGTCAAACGAAAAAATTATGTAAAGAATGTCACCATTTGTAAAATGCTGTTTATTCAAATACATGATTGGTTGTGAGTGGCTGGTTTCTCGATCCTTCAAAAAAAAAAATCCCCAGGTATTTGTGAGTTTTTTCAATCTCTCACCGCCATCTATCGGCCATAATTACTGGTCTCCAGAGGCACCCGAGAGTTTTCTCTAATTGTTTCAAAAAATCGGCGCAAACGAAATTGTACATGAGAAATTTTTCAATTCCATGGCAACAATCACATCCATGACTTTCACATATTTTTTTCATTTCCCCTTCAAGCTCTCATTCTCGACAATTTTCCTGGATCCATCAATTTCCCTCTCGCTTTCTTTTGCTACCGTACGGTAGCACCTTCAAAATTCGAATGGGTTTTTGATTCTATTACTGGGATTTGATTTCTCAACGAATCATTGCTTCAAGCATCAATTCAGCAATTGATATACGTCTGACGTACTAGCTTAAACTTTTGTGTGCTTCTCTCAACTACAGCATTTTCTAAGCGCGCCAATTTTTGTAAGCTACCGTAATTTTAGATCGAGTTTTGTGAAATCTACTATTTTTTTTGTGTTTCTTTCGGTATCATTCGGAACTCCTACAAAATAAGAAAAAACAGAACCAGGAGTACGGAAGTTTTCAAAAGATGATGCGCTTTGGAAAACACTCTAGTTGAGAGAATCTCACTACCGACCCTTTGCTTTACAATTTCATTTTTGAAAGTCTGAAAATGAGGTTAATTAAGCAAAGGCAAAAACTGTATCCCCGAGATGGGTCTCTCTCGAAAGCGATAACTCATACATAAATTCCTCAAAAAAACAAATTACCGCTCCAGCAATCGATCACCTCAACCATCCCGAGAAAAAAATTAATGTCTTTTTCGATTTTTCCTCGTCTCTCTTTTACCTACCTATTTATTTTCAAAAGAAAATCGATTGCTTTTTTTGTACGTAGCTGAAATTTGTGGCTTTTCTTATATTCAAAATTTCAGTGCTATTCATATTATCAACTTTTCCTTTCGATCATCATGTACAAAAAAGCGAAAGCGACACTCCCTGGGACTGCGACAGGTAACCAAAAATGTTCACAAAAAAAGTTGCCAAGAATTCCAGAACGTCGAAACGTCACGATCAATAAAGTCGTCCCAACGAAGAGAGATTCTTTGAAGGCACAGAAAAATGTGCGATTCGGTGAGTTGAAATTCGACGATGATTTTGTGTGTTTGTCTTTCCTTTTCAGTATTACCTGAGATCAAAAAAGGGAAACGAAAAGAGAGAGGAATACGGGTTGTTCCAAGGTCTTCGGTTAGATACAAAAAAATAACTCTCAATCGAATGGCAAAATGTTTTCCTTTGTCATTTCATTTAAATCTTTGAATTGGGAAAAGGCGTTCATAAGATTGGCTCTACAAATTGTTCACTACTAAGTTCTTTTTCATTGTTTTCAAAAACCAAAGCTTTAAGCTCATTTAAAGAGCTATTTTTTTTCTGTTCTCTTCATATTATCATTTCTTTGAGTGTTTCATTTAATAGGGGAATGGAGGTGGCCATGGAGGGCGGATGTTTGCTTTCGGCGGCCCCTGTGAGCGAACCACTGGGACCCCCCTCCCCAACCCCGTCAACCCCTTCAACCTCTCCCCTTCTCTCCCAAATATTTCTCTTCTTCCCATCTTCAAGACCCCTGTCCACACTTTCTATTTACTTCTTCTTCTTCTCTTTTCGTCTCTCATCCCAATTTCTGTTCAATTTCTTCCCGATTTCCCAACACCGATCATTCTGCGCGCGATCAGCTGCATTGCTCTGGCTTTGATCGGGCACCAGTTTTCAGGAATGATGCAAAGACATTGCTTTTAAGACCTTTTTTCAATCTTCTAAAAACCTTCAGACTTTCAGATCTGTTCCTAACCTCTATTACATCATTGAGCTTTATTCTGAAAATCGATACGTTCTCAAAATCCAAATAAGTCAATGGGTTTGCAATTGCTCGGATTGATTGAACTAATTTTATGATTGAACCGATTGATTGAACCAACCAAGCGTTTGATTGAACCAATTTTATCTCCATGAAATCATTAGAATAGTAGCTTTAAAAATCGATAAGCCATTTTTCGAACTCCTTGAAACTTTACCAAGCGTTTCTTTCCAGTCTGTTTTTGTTTTTCTGGGATTTTTCCAAAATTGATTAGCTTTCTTTTCACTTTCTTGATCACCTCTCAGTATTTGAAAAAAGAAACGATAAAAATAAAAATTTTAGTTCCACTCGCATTCACTTTAGTTACAAACTTTTAGTCTAATCATGTAACTTTCAGAAAGAACTAGCTAACTGGTTTTATTTTGCTATCATTTTTTCGGTGTAAAAATAATATAAAGCTGATATTTTGGATGAAAATCGAGAGGAATTCTCGAGTAAACTTTCAAGTTTAGAGCTTACCCGGAGAGGAATGCAGGGGAAACTGACTGAGAGTGAAAAGGGGAGACTTGTTTGCATAGTATAATTGAGCGCTCTCCTCTCTTCTACTCCTCTTTTCACCGAAAAGGAGTAAACTCTCATTGCTGTGTTGTAGAGATACTGCACAAATATAGAAACTATACAAAAAGTACTTGATGTTGATATATCTTTGTCTTATCAATTAGTCAATCAATTCAAATTTTAGCTTTTATTAGCTGTTTGAATTGTTGCTATAATTATAGAGTTGATAGGCTTTTGAGTAGAGGAGTGTGTGGGGTAGGCTAATTTCCGCAATTTTTTTTGCACAGGGTCATTTGAGCAATTGGGTCGTTTTCGCAAATCGCCATAACTTTCTTCTAAGTGGACCAATCTTTATGATTTTGGTTTCATTTTGTAGATCTCAATAAGTGCAACAAAATAAAACCAAAATCATAAAGATTAGCCCACTTAGAAGGAAGTTATGGCGAGTTGCGCGAAAGGACTGGTCATTTTGGTGGTCATTTCGTTACACTCATTGATATATACAATATGAAAGCAAAATCATAAAGATTGGCCGACTTAGAAGAAAGTTATGGCGAGTTGTGCAAACGACCCAGTTGCGCAAATGACCCTGTTGCTCAAAAAAAGTTGCAGAAACCAGCCTACCCCGAGTGTGTTCCTCGCGAGTAATGCGTTTTTTAAAACGCACAATTGGGAAAAAATTACCGTACTTTTAGCAAAAATTATTGCAAAAAAATGACGAGCCCCGCGGTATATACGACACTTTTTAAAGATACTCAGTCGTTTAACTGATTTAGTCGGAAATTCCCTTCCAATGTAAAAACTGATTTTTTTTGAAAAATCTGGGGATAGGCTACTTTGCGCCAAATTTTTTGCGCAACTGGGTCATTTGCGCAACTAGGTTTTTTGCGCAACTCGCCATAACTTTCTTCTAGGTCGGCGAATCTTTATGATTTTGGTTTCATATTGTATATATGCAACGAGTGTAACGAAATGACCACCAAAATGACCAGTCCTTTCGCGCAACTCGCCATAACTTTCTTCTAAGTCGGTCAATCTTTATGATTTTGGTTTCATTTTGTTGCACTTATTGAGATCTACAAAATGAAACCAAAACCATAAAGATTGGCCCACTTAGAAGAAAGTTATGGCGATTTGCGAAAACGACCCAGTTGCTCAAAAAAAATTGCGGAAATTAGCCTACCCCAAAACCTGCGCAAAAAATTGCTTTTATATTTTTTTCGCGCAGGCGCACTTTTTAGAAAACGCATTACTCGACAATTACTCGAGCTATTACTCGAGTAAAAAATTACTCATGCAAAATTCCTCGAGTAATTTACTTACTCGCGAGGAACACACTCTACTTTTGATTAGCTGAATCAATACGCAAAGATACGCAAGATCACTTGATAATCTTATCCTTTTAGATAAACAAATTTATCTTATTCTTTAGAGATTTAAAAGTGATGAATCTCTAACAAAATGTCATTTTTTTTATATTCCTTTACTTTCCTATCAAACCTTAGAAGTGCTAAATCCCTAGCAAAATGTCATTCTTTTGCATTCCTTTACTTTCCTATCGTCCATCATTGAAACATTCTCAAACTCCAGAGAGTGTCATCGACTTTTTCCCCTTAACCCTTTACAATTCACCTGTTCAATCTGAGCAAGGAAACTTTTCTCCTTGTTTTTCTCTCATCAAAGATACTTTTGAAAATTGTTTAGTTTTTTAGTCAATTCAGCTTTTGTAGAAATTTGTATGCTTATTGCCCAAAAGGTTTCAGTTTCGAAAAAAGAGTACCCTAGTTAAAAATTAGATCTTTACAGCTTTAGTTCTTTAGTTCTTTAGATCTTTACGTCTTTAGTTCTTTAGATCTTTAGATCTTTACATTTTTAGATCTTTAGATCTTTAGATCTTTATATCTTTAGTTCTTTAGATCTTTACATCTTTACATCTTTAGTTCTTTAGTTCGTTACATCTTTACATCTTTAGATCTTTAGATCTTTACATCTTTACATCTTTATATCTTTAGTTCTTTAGTTCTTTAATTCTTTAGTTCTTTAGATCTTTACATCTTGATCATACCATATAATGGTTTTCTAAATTCTGACTGATTTACTTGTTGAATCAAAAAAAAATTCCATAAAGTACATGGTGGAGTAGTTTCGTAAGGGTTTTTTTATCGAGCCCTTTTTGAGGCTTTCCCCTCTATGCTCTCAAAAAATGTTGGTATTGTTGGGTTCTCTTTTTTTTCGTCTCCTAGCAATTCTTTTCTTTTCTCTCTTTTCCAACATCACCCCAATATTCGGGAACCAAAAATGCAGACAAAAAAAAGAAACGACAATTTAGCTTTTTTATACTTTGTTTCTAAGCTCAAGCTTGAAGTCAATCAAAAAAAAAATTTGCTTTTCTTTCTGTGCTTTAAATTCAAATCGTTTTCTATTTAAAAATCGATGCCAACATTTCAGAACGGTTCTTCAAAAACGAAATTTTTTAATTTACTGCGATTTTTGCCGAATTTCCATCAATTTTGGTGGTTTTGGATGAAAGGGCGATGAAATTCTTCTCTCTTCGTGAAAAGCCTCAAAATTTCGAATAGGATTTCGAATAAAAATTCGCATAGCCTGAGCATACAAAAGAAGAAAAAGAAGAAAAAGAAGAAGAAGGAAAAAAAATGGGTGAGTTTTTCTATATTTAAAAAAAAAGGAAAGAGTGAATATCTGGGCTGAGACTTGGGTGGTGATGACGAATTTGGGTGGTGGAGAGGTGAAGGCATTTCGTAACTCTTCAAAGACTGTTTGGAGAGGAGAAGGCATTTTTGTTTGCAACTTTAACTATTTTTTCTTACTTTTGCGCAATTTCTACTTGTAGTTTTGCTTTCTACATTGTTTTTAAAGCAATAATAACTAATTCATAACTCTTCAAAGAGCTTTTGGGCTTGGATTTGATTTCAAAGGTATTGTACACCTAAAATCCTTGCATATTTTAAGTACCATGGAAAGGTTTAAGAAAAGCTTAAATTTATTGAATTTGGATCTCTTTGGATTCGATAAAGGGCAAAGTTTTCTGAAAAATGGGTAAAAAGCTGGGCTGTTTGGAGAGGAGAAGGCATTTCATAACTCTTCCAAGAGCTGATAGGTTTGGTTGTGTCGAATTTGGTTTGAAAAAGAAATTCTTTGATTTGTTGAGTAGATTAGTTTCGATTTGACCTTAAATTTGGTCTCTTTTGGTCACGGATTTAATAGAATGTTACAAAATTGTAAAAGGGCAGGCAACCCATCCCTCTTTATCGAGATTTATTCAAAGTTAATCCCACGGTTAGTTCAATGAGAGGTTCTTTCGTTTTAGAAATTCCAATCACCTTCAATAAGTTACACAAATAGGTTTGTGTATACCGTATTTTCTCTAATAGTAACCCCGGCGAGCCGGGTTGGTGACTATTTTAATCGTTCGTGAAACCGCTCGTTCCCATCATTGCTGTCTGGGGTGAATTGATGTAAGGACGCATTGGTTGAGACTGAAAAGTCGTTTATTCATTTAGATTCAAAATTTGACGGGGTTTAAGGCATTTAGGCAAACCTTTAGCCTAGCCATTAGCCTAGTAATTAACTATTTACCGTATTTTCTCTAATAGTAGTGCACCCCGGCGAGCCGAGTTGGTGACTATTTTACGGTTTCAAAGTTTTCACAGAAGCTCAACACTCAAATCCCCACAAGATCTCATCGTCAGCTACATTTTCC